TGTGTGTGTGTGTGTGTGTGTGTGTGTGTGTGTGTCTATATATATATATATGTAAGGGATGACAAGAATGTCGTCGATGATGACAAAAACGACTAACTGCAAGAGATTTTGCAGGACAACTCACTTTTAAGTCTTCAGCAAAATGTTTGAACTATTTCTATAAATTTAGTTAGCATTAATTTACCATCCTTGCTTATTTTATTTTTTACAATAATAAAAAAAACAAAGGGCAAAAATTCTAAACGAAATCGTTCCGTAAATCAACGATTTCGTTGATTTACGGAACATTTATGTTTTACGGATTCTTCCCATATTGTTTTTCATTTATCAAATGTTTGAAATGATCATAAGATGAAAGATTACATTGTGATATGAAATGCATTATTATCATACTGTATTTGTTATTAATTGCGGAATGATTCAACAATTTTTTTTAATGCCTACATTCAAAATACTTTTATCTATTCGTCGTGTAATTATTCATTTCATTTTATTTCATTCATTAAATCAAAATTGTTTCTCAATGTGTGTTTCAAATCTTTTTTAATATTAAAATTTTTTTCTAATACAATTCTATATTTCCAGTTCAAAAGTTAACGAATCGGTAATTTCACTGAGATGTCTTATTTTTTATTTATAAGTACTATAAATATTCATGCGCAATTTAATTGCAACATCCTTTAATGAATGATATTAAAGGAGTGTGGTTGAGATTGAGCCTGAAATTTTAGTTGTGGTTGAGCTTGAAATTTTATGTTTTAATTTCTTTGGCAATTTTCTAAATGTTCAGATTGAGAACTTTCAATTAAAAATATAATATTACTTACTATGCATTTCTTTTTTTAATTTTCAGTGTATAATAATTTTTTCTTTGATCTGTTAACATAAAGAATTCTTATTTTTAATGAGAGATGGAGATAGCATTGTTGTCTGAAAATTTCAATTATCAACAGTAATAAATTCAAACTAATTTACTAAAAATATTACAATTACTCATCTATTCTTTATTCATTTGAATTTCACTCTCTAAAGGTTATCACTAACTACATAATTATTTAGATATTATTTCATTCTATTTTTTTCAGGACAAAATAATTTTTTTCTTCGTTTTTTTTTTGCAAAATTAGTTGGTAAGAAAAATTTAAACAAGAATTTATTAATACCTGTTTTTTTTTACAGAGCACGAAGTAGAACTAAAAGTGTTCAACTACTTGGTGGTTATTCCTGTCACTTACTATTATTATTATTTTTGTTATTATTGTTATTATCAGGTATAGACTAACACTTTCACTTGTATCTAACAACCAACATTCACGGTAACATCATGTATCTTCCGGATAATTCCACTTTTGTCACCGGAATGCCAAACATCGAAAGTGATCGTAAGTGTTTTTTTCGTTCATTTTTCTTTATGCATTAAGCTCACAAAAATGAGCCTTTAAATTTTCATTATTTGAAATTAGAAATTTGATAAGAATTCCCGTTGTAAATTTCTCAAAATTATTATCAATATTTCTCTAAACAGAAAGTAATAATTTTTGCTTACCGAAATTTTTATTTACATGCTTGATTATGGAAAGAATTCTTGGATGAGTTCAGTTTCTGACAATCATTTAAATTTCAAAATTTTGCACTTTTGACAAAAAAAAAGAAATGAAATAGAGTTCTTGTTTGCCTAAAAATGTTTGTTTAGGTGTGTCCAGGATGTATTCTGATATCTACATATTATTCGCATTCATGGGCTTCATCATCGGTTCATTTGTATTATTTTTCACAATAAATGTTTCCAAAGCTCGACTTGGTATTTTTTTTAATTTTCTCATATCATTTCACTTATTGAAAAATGCAGATGTTGAATACTACCAGTGCATTAATACATGTAATTAATACAAGCAATTAGTATAAAACTTAAAAATAAAATGATACCAACGAATGATGGAAAAAGAATTTAGAAAGTAGATAAATTTTTAATTAACCAAAATTTATGCTAACAAATAATTTTTAGTCAATGCTAATTTCTAAGATTTTAGCTAACATTTGAATATATGGGAGGAATTTTTTGTTTACGGAGACAATGGAATAAATATTTAAGAATATTTCTATCATTAATTTTTAATTTGATCAATGAATGAAATTATTGATAAATAAGCAACAGAATTTTTTCAATTACAGTTCATTTCATTAAAAATGAGAATAACAATTGAATTGTATTTCGACAAAAATTTCCAGCTGTTTCAAAAAAAAATTCTTTAAATCACTCAGTAATTGAAAACTGCTAGAAATATCCAATGCCAGATCATACAACATTGAATGTTAAAGAATTGATCGCAACACTTTTAACAGTTAACTGATATAAAATAATATCAGTCAGCATTCCTTACATATCCGCAAAACTTACTGTATACTCTGTAATGGTAGGAAGAATATTTTTTCCTTGTTTTAATCATTCTAATTAATTTCTCCAGGAAAATTGCATGTAAATTAATACTAACAGGAAATTGATATTTTCTAAATAATATTTCATATTTTCTCAAATTTTTAAATTTTTTGGCAATTTAAAAATTTCTTTCTGTCGTATTTTCACACCAAAACCATATTTGCAAAATGATATCTGTAATAATTGAATGATTAAAACAATCAGAATTCATTTGATCCTCCTCAGCAATGATTAATAATGTAGATATAAACTTATTCAACAATGATATCTATTAACGCTTATGGAAATTAAACTTCGTAAATTTGATTTTGATGGTAATTTTAAATTTTTTATAGAGAAAACTTTTGTTGATCATAATTTGCAGAAACACGAAAAAATACGAAAGTATTTGTAATCGATTTGCCACCAAGATATTCAGAAGTTGCACCACCACCGTATGATTGGGTTCTGAAACATCGTTATTCTGAGGATTATTCATCGAAGATGCATATAACATTAAATTTATCAACAGTAATGACTGTATGCAGTTTTTCAGTACTTTTATAGTATCATGTTGTTATTTGTTGTTGTCGCTGTTATTTAGATAAATCGATTAAAAGCAAAATTTGATTATGAGAATTATTTTATTTTCTGCATATCAGAAATGTTTTGCTTGAATTTGTTACTACTAATTGAAATCCAAATTTTACTCTCGCAGCAAGATTGTTTCTTTTTTCTTTTTACCTCACAATATAAATAAGTCAGTTTATTTAATTTATATCAAGTAGCATTAGCAATCCTAGCAGTTGTGATCAGTATTACTACATATGTCAAGTTACTTTTTAAAATATAGCTGTCAAGTTCTTTTTTCTTCTAAGAATTTAGGTACATAAGATGATTTTAATAAATTAGCAAGACGCAATCCCTCTCTAGCAATAATGGAAGATTTTCAAGAAAAGTTGATTTTAAGAATCGATCAAAACTCACTACCGTCTTTATACAATGTATTTCGTTACTATGTTTTTTTGATGTTGATCAAAGTGTTTATATATAAAAGCCATCTCAGACTATAAAACGGGTATTTTTAGAACTCGTCAATAAATAAATTATCAGCTCGAATACCTCCTTGCTTCATTGTGAATTAACAATGCACTTTTTGTTGTGTTACAGTTAATTCACTTCATTATTACAAACTAAAATAAAATTTTTCCTACATAAAGTTCGCACCAATCACATTTATTGAGGAAAAAAATGAGAACCGCATCCATACGATCGATTTGCCGAATTCTGGTCTTCTAACAATATTATTATCAGTCTTAAGATCTAACAATAGCCTATTCTACGCGCTGAAATATAACATAACCGGAATTTTGAAAGAATCTTAAGTACTTCAATTACATCACTTTATATCTTTTAGTATTGCCTTATTAAAAAACGATCAAAATTCTAAACCCAGCATTTCTTTCTCCATTTCTTCGTTCTCGCAAAAAATGTAACAGAAAACATGCACATCACGAATTCACATAAAGCAAGAAATCTTTGATTTTTCAAATCAAATTTCAAGTATTAAATGCATCAATTTGTCACCACCATAATTCCTTATCACAGAAATGATCAAACAGAATGATGTCACCAAGCAATACTTACATTACCTCGCAATCAATTTGAAATATAAATAATAAGTGAACAAAGCAATGATGCAAAATGAGTGGAATATGATGAAACTAATATATGAAAAAGAACTGCAACTTCGAAACTGCAATCACTGGCAAAATGATTGAAAAAAATATTGAAACCTAAGTTAACTAAAAATAAATCCATCAAAAGCGATACACGGTGATATACACGAAATGATAACACTGGTAACATACTTCGAGTTCCATTTTTTAAGTGGTTAACAAACAAAACTAAATTCCATGCTTTAAAAAATTTCAGGAATAAACAAAAGTTTTACCAATTTCATTAACCATGAACATATTAGTTGCAAGGGTAGATGGGTAAAAGGTAATTTATGAGGATAACTAGTTCAGAGATAGTCAACAAAATCAGTAACCTCAAGCAATATTATCTTTTGTGTGTAATGATAATCAAAGCTTTATGCAAATGTAAATTATAGAACTGAATGTTTTATGCATAAGTTTAATGAATTAAGCGTTCGCCTAAATTATTTTACTAAACCATCATTCGAAACTCAGAAGCACTCAATATTTACAGTAAGGCGAATTTTCAATAAAAGATAAGAAATATATTCAGACCAGTTTCAAGGAGATTGAAAGTTTTCCTGAAAAGGCTCTGATGACAAGTATTATCTGTTTAATTCAGTAAAAGTATATACTTTGTAGAAATTGTTGCTTTTAAACATTTTAATTTGGCAAAAGCTTAAAAATAATTCCATTTAAAGCTCATTTCTTTTTCTGTTTTTTACGAAAACTTTTTCTCTTCGCCTCGTAATTTTCCAGTGTATTGTCATCCAAACGGACAGCACACCCCGCTTTTGATTGCCAATGAGTAAAATCACTATAAAAATGAAGTAGTGATAAATGATAAATATATATTACTGAGTTGAAAACATTTGGAATTTGAAAAAAATTTCTAGAAACTGCGAAATGTATCGAAAGAAATAAACCTGTAACTATGTGCTTTATAAAATGCCGGTGCCAAAAGAAACGAATTTTTCTTCGGCGCGCCTGATCTTTGACGCTCGTTTCGCCGACGGATGAGTGGAGGAAACATGTAATCAACTGTGTCCATTGCTAATGATATAAATGATGTTTCGAAACCAATGGAATCAGCACGCCTGACACGACCCTGTTTATCAATAATTAGTATTCTATCCGGAGGTATATCTACTGCTCGATAACTTACGACATCCTGAAAAAGACTTAATACATGACTTCAATATATAACAAATTAAAAAAAGAAAACTAAGTTGCATAAAGCGAAACCAAATCATCTCAGTACAAAGTATAAATGACAAACTACCCTATCTTATACAATTCACATTTTATCTACATTATCTTATCCAGTAATGATCTCGTACAAACCATACACAAGCTGAGCAGGAAGAACAAAAGTAAGTTGGGGTAAAAACGATAGTGAGTGGCAGAAAAAAAGAGAACACTTGAATTATATCTCAAAAACAGTTGATCAGTCAAACAGGATTGGCGCATTCGAACAAGAATCAACGAATCTACAATTACGATTTAAAGAAACCTAAAATTATTAAAATTATACTTCATAGGTTTTATTAACGAAGAAATAAAATTTTGTACTTGGATTTTAATTTAGCCCGAAAAATTGAAATAACAATTAAAACCTTACTGTTTCTCGATTTCCAAAACCAGCATAGAATGGACGTTTCACTGGAAAACATTCCTTTAAGTCTGTTAAAGCAGCTATTTTAAATTCTTCTGGTTTGCGATCTATAACTTCTCTGAAAAACAAATCACTGTCAAATGACAACATGTTTCTGCCTGCACAAACAGCAAATAAATATTCTGATTTGCAAACGTGCAAACAGAAACCAATAAGATCATATTGAAAAATGCTTAATAATTTGTTCGTTGAGTTAGACATTGGAATTCACTCGTAAATAAAACTTAATACCTTCTAAAAGCTATAAGCACGGATGTAGGCGACAACAATAACGGCCCATCGGGTAAAAATTTTGCGTTCTGGGCAACACTTTGCAAGTATTTCTTTGTAGAATAACTTTGTCCTATTGCTCGAGAAGATAAATAAACCAACTGATAGCTGAAAACTTACATAATAAATTTGCTACTCTACTTTCAATTCTTTTAAGCTAATAATTTTTTATACTAGTGATTTATCAAAAAAAAATTTTACCCATTTTCCTTGATTCTAGTATACAGTTCTGCGACTCCTGCATGAGCCCACTGCCCACCAATAGCTGGTATAACGTGTCCTAATACATCACTTTTAGTTATGGTTCCGTCTATATCGGAAATAACTAGACGCTCAGTCCATTTATATAGGTAAATATGACAACTGCACCATGTGGTACCCTGCAATGTGCAACATAACAAACAGGATTAAGAAGGATACAACGCATATACGGTGCATATACAAGTTCAAATTGTTTATTCTTCAAAATTTATGAGTTCCTAAAACAATATTGAGCGATTTAAAACGTCAAGATCAAAATTTACAAACTTGGAACTTTGTAGTAATTGAAAATCTTGCTTCGTTTGCTCCTTTGCGTAACCCCAACTTTTTCAATTTGTCACTGGAAAGTCGTAAAGAACGGATATACTTCGGAAATTGTGCAGTAGTTTCTGCACCGGAAGGCACAGGTGTTGCACTTTCTGCTTCTTCATCACTCATATGACTATAAAAGTTTGCAATTACTACTACTTTTTTTTCAAATAGCTCTCTTCTGACAAATATAAATAAAAGAATGATAAAATTAATTTTAGAATGATACGAACAAGATATCACTAGAAGGAGTCACACTACAAGCATAATTTCTTTTTGTTCCATAACTGTGTCCTTCGATTACTGATTCATGTGCTTCGGAAAACTGAAGAAAATGCTGATTATCCAATACATTTATGTCAATCGTATGTTTCTGCAATTTCTTCAAATATTCTAATCCGCGCAGTAATGGTGTAGACAGAATAATAGTTGTTTCGAGATTAGCACAAATTTTTATTACTTTAGCACAAAATTTCTTCTATGAATGCCACTAAAAAATAAACCTTGGCATCGAGTGCTGGTGACGAAGTTCGTTCTGGCTGCTGTACCTCATTATTCGCTTCATTTTCAATATCATTAACCTTATTGGGAAAATTCAGCCCCATTATAGAACCATTCCCACTGTCACTGGGTGGTGAAGGACTGAAATAAAATTTGTGCTCTTCATAAATCATTATTTACTTCCTAAAGATTGTTTACACAATCTTTAACAAGTACTGAATGAAAAAAAAAACCCTATTTCACTATCACTCAAAATCAATCTAGCTCTTAGTCATATCTCAAAACTTGAACTTATGACCAAAACTGAAAAACAGCTTAAATTGATAATAAAAGATTATGTTTGATTATTCAAAGAGTAAAGACATCAGTTCATTAATATCACTCACCACGCAGTGGGAGGTGACTTCCCCAAATATTTTTCAATTTTACTAGGATCACTCGCACTTTGCACAAGATCATCCAAATAAACACCCTGATCTTCTGTTGGCTTAGCACGTGACCAGCGAAACCATTCACCCCATGTGGATCCTTTTTTTTCTTGTTTAGCTTTCACATTTTCTTCTTGTTTCCTTGCTTTTTCCGTTTCTTCAAGTGTTCTTGGCAACTCACCCCATTTCCACACCACTACTTCAGTTTTGTGCTGAAATTCGTAATAAAGCTTACGTTCAACAAGTGAAGCAGTATAACAAGTTTCAAAAAATTTATAAGAATTTCTGAAAGAAATGAAACAGAAAACAAGCTAACTAGTTCAGGAGTGTCTCGATGTCGATCAAGTTCAGAATCGGAAAATGCACCATCAGCAATCATACCTAAACCAGGAACTTTCATACGATCCGTTTCACTATCAATCGAAACTGTTGATGCTGCGTCATCTATATCACTTTCCTAAAATCTATGCCGCTGTTTAATCGCCCAGTTGTGCATCATTTATATATATATATATATATATATATATATGAAAGAATCAACAGCCAAAAATTTGAATGTCACATGAGTGTTAAAATAAAGCACCTCATTTGTTGAGTTCGATAATTTACGCATCATTTTGGTAGAACTTGAATGCTTCTTGCAAGAGATGCAAGCTGGAGGTAATAAGCTGCATCCCATTGCAAACGAATGAGAGTACATCAACTGTCTGCAAATTACCAATTTTAAACCTAGCTGCAAACAAAAGCAGAGAACAGATTATTCGATATCTTATCATTAGCATATCAAAAAAATCAGTCGACGGTATCAAATTTCCTCATAAAAGTCAATTTCAACGAATTCTACAAGGTTAAAGCAGCAACATCACTATACAAAAAACTCTTATTTGTATTCCTTATATTCTTGAATCTTGGCTCATTGTTGATAAACAATTATGTAGAAAAGCAAGAACCAAAAAATTATCAAACCACATAGGTCTCAAAATTATTCTGCTATAAATGCGATTACAAACCCATGCATCCTTAGCCCATTTCACATCTACATCTCTTCAGGTGGAGTTGTCATACTTAAACAATAACTTTTTTAAATACAAATATCACCTCTTATTTTCCGTAATTCTTTTATATGCTTGTTGCTGGTCGTCAGTAAGCTCACTAAGATTCGGTAAAGATCGATTCCTACGTTGATTGAATAATGATGCATTGAATGGAAGTGTTTTTCTGCGTTGAATATCTAATTCACAAGAATTTTCACTGTAAATAAAAAAAATTGAAAAAGAAGTCTTCGTTAATAAATCCTTATTTTATCGTAATGAGAACTTTCTACTCGAAATATGGAGAAAAGAATACATATAAAAGATATGAAAAATAAAACCGTGAATGGGAGGAATGTGAGCGGGAACTGGAACATTCTGAGAGCGCTCTTTTATTTCTTGAACGTGACAACTGTCGTTGGATTTTTTCTATCCTTTCAGCAAGATCCTTAAAATAAAATTTCATTCTCTAATAATAAATCTACTTTTAAATATATGAAATTGCACAAATACAACATACCTTTCCATCAACTGGAGTAGAGCTACTTCCTGGGACTGGGCTCGTCACTAGATATTCAGGAACATGAGCATCTGTAGTTGGCTCAGTAAAGAATGCAATACCATTTTCACCCAACTTCATTTTTAAATCTATTTCTTCACCATTTATTGTTATATCCACATACTGAAACAAATCCTCTCGAATACATTATCAAACTTTTGCCACTGTTTGACATTTCAAAGCATAAAAATGGCAACACAAAAGAAAAACGACGATACAATGTAAATGAAAATTCATAAATATTAAAAAATGAGCTAACTTTTTCGTCGCTGTTTAAAACGCCATATTTTCCGAATCTTACATGAAATGGTGTTGACAAATATGATCCATCCGGCTGCTCCACAACAATCAAATCAATTGCCCCTTCAATATTTGAAATATTTAAATGAGAAAAATTCGAACAAAATGCAAATCTTTTCAAAAAAAGTTTCCTTGAGAAGCTGGTAAAATACTGCTTTGCAAAACTAAGCAAAGTTAATAAGCACACGCTTTTAGGAACAATTCTTAATTGTAAAGATAAGAATGCTTAAAGTTTTACGATTTTCGTTCATAGAAACAATAAACATATATTATATTATATTATATTATATAAGACTTATTTCGCATCTATTAGTAGTAAATCTTTATTTTATTAATAATTAATTAAAGAACAATTGTTCCCAACCACATCTTCATAAAATACAAAAATTTGAACGTTGAAGCATACCCGAAAGTGAAGCTGGATTGAGTGTTTTATAAAAGTATTTTACATTATCCAAAAGACGATAGGCGTAATTCATCGCCTCTTTCTCCACAAATACCCTATTCTTTCGCCGTTGTACAATACCAGCGTCTCATTAATAATCACTGCTTTTGTTAAATCGTAAAAACAATTAATTCCAGTACTGAAATTCAAGTATTCCTCAATGTTTTTTGGAAGCATCGGTTCGAACGAACGTTTCAAACATAACGTCATCACTAGTAATAATTTCTTAAAAGAAATTGATGAATGATAACTCCATCAATAACTCCACTATAGCATTGAATAATGTAAGCAAAATAGAGTTAAAATGAAGATAATAGAAGAGAATGAAATCGTCTCAATATCTTCAAGTTCGGTGATATCTGAAAGTGAAATTCAACTCGAAATAAATTTCTCCAGTATGCATTTTTGAATTCCATTCAGTCTCTTAAAACAACTTCAAAAATGGAAAAATCGATCCGAGAGACATCCCACCACGCAACCAAATCCGCATAATAATCTTTTTGTATCGAGAAAGTATCTTTTATACGGTTCCTCAATGAAATTTTCTTGTCCAAGCCATCTATACTTTTTAAATTATTTATTTTTTAAAATAAATTGTTCACTTTTACAGTTTGTCTTCTTTTCTGGAAGAGAATCAAATGCCGTGAAGATTGTTTGTAATTTAGCACATTATGAGAAGAAATGAATTATGCGAAGAATTTCGTCAAATAATATTAAATGGAGTAACAATTTTTGAGAACAATCGGTGCTAATATCATATTAGATGTATTGATAAGAAAAGTTAATAACCCTTGAGGAATTTATGAATCACGGATGATTGAAAATTGTAACCTTAAATAGACTTCCAAAACTTTCAAAGAGATGAAGGTCAAAGGTTATCTCTGAGCAAACTGATCATTAAATGGTGAGACTGAAAATAAATACTTATCTTTAGAGATGGACATAAAAGTTAAATGATGATGTTATGCGAATAGAACAAAGGGAAGAGAAAGAGAGAGGATGTGTCATTAAAATTATCTCAAGAAATCATTCAAAACTTTGTATCATTAGGAGGGTTGTCTAAATTGAAGTGTTCTAAAATCCTTTGTCCTCCATCCCTTATGCTTTAAAAATATATTTTAAAACGAAATTTGAAATGATCAATCAAAAGTATAATAAAAAAACTAGTTGCGAAATCCTAAGCTCTCACAATATATAAATTCAAGGATTTTCGAGGCTTTGTTGTGTGTGTGTGTGTGTGTGTGTGTGTGTGTGTTTATGACTGCCTGTCTGTATGACAAAGTTTTGAAATATTTAAGTGACGGAGCATAAGAAATCTTTTGCTTTTTCAATCTCATCTGAAAAATGGAGTTAGTGATGCCTCATGATAAGTGAAGAAAGTTGTAATGCAACACTGATAAATGATAAATATCTGATGCATCTAATATTTGATAATACTGATAAATGATAAACATCTGATGCTAAATAAAATATGTATTAGAATATTCAAGGTAGATAATATAAAATAGATTTAAATTTTCAGGTTTAAATTTGGCAAATTTGAACTTAAGCATAAAAAAATTTAACAAAAATTTAGCTTCAAACATTTGAAAAGCAAAACTGTTCATTGTTTATTGCTGAGACATTAAAAATTGGAACCATTTAAAAGAAAAAAAACTTAGATCTATTTAATTTGAAAGATGAAAACTGAAAAAGTTATCTGTTTTATATCCATTTCTTAATATTATTGAAAAAAAAAAACATTGTGAGCAATTTGATCTTTCTTGTTTAAAAAAATAGAAACCGAAAGATGATATCCATCAATTTATTGTCAAATATTATAGATGGTTCCTGTAGATAATCGATTAATTTCAAATGATAAAAACTTAAATTAAATAATGAATATTTTAAAAAATGATAACCCTTCAAAAGTGTTACAATTTTTTTTTGAAATTAATAAATAATGATAGAAGTTTGAGAGAGATTTTTCTACTTGATTGAAAAAGTGAAATTAAGCTTGCAGAAAATAACACAAGAAATTTTCATATGCAAAAGAAATAGATTGTATTTTATGTTGTGAAAGTTGGTTTGTTTTAAGGAGGATTATAGGATTGTATTTCCTTGAGGTGAGAGTTGATCGTTTTATTATATTACGATCTGATGGATTAGGCTTGAATTCCTGATTCCGATCTTGGCCTAGAATATTTGTTCCAGACACTATTGAATTTGATGTGATGACTACGCCAACAGATGTAGTTTATTGGATAG